CCCCAAAACCCCAAAACCCCAAAACCCCGTATATATAATACCTGGTTGACAACAAAATAATAAAAATGAACGGGTTTGTCAGCTCTTCCTCTGAAGAGAACCTCTCTGAAGATATTCTTAGTGAGAATGCTTCCACTGGAGAAATAAAAACAAGTATGAGGCTCACTGAAAATATGGGCAAATCTTCTTTCTCTAAAAAGGAGATTAGTTCCTTTAATGATGATTTTGGGCGACCAATTTCGCATCCAATGAGTTTGAAGAAATCTCAGATCTTAGAGAAGGAAGGAACTAGAAGAAATTCTTGCATATAGCAAAGGATGGATCTCACCTCAGTCTTGAAACAAACAAAGAAGAGGAGGAAAAGCTCTCATGTAAAAGGCAGAGTTCCTTGAAGGCTGACATAAGCAGTCTTCTTCAGAAGTCGATTCAAATTAGGAAGAAAAAGAGCCACTTTGCCAAGATGAAACAGACAGCAAATACTCCTTTGAAGGAAGTAGGATTCACTGGAAGAGGTCCCATCGAAGGGGGATCATGTACTTTCGGTGTTAAAAAATAAATAAATAAATTGGTCAACTAAATAAAGTTCAAAAACTTCTTTAGCTCATTTACTAGCCAAAATTTGTGGTATAAGACCATGCTAATTGGGATCTGATCTGAAGTCTGCTTGTAATAGATGAGCTAGTTCAAAGACTTTTTATAATTCTAATTTATAAAATTAATAATCTCTTTAAAAGTGGTGAGATAGCAAGCTCTAATCGTCAGTCTTTTCATAATCTGTTCTGATTAACCCATTTATGTTCATAGGATTGTAGGACTTATTGAGTTGTTTGGGATAGGTACGAAATATTCTAATTCCTCCAACTAAATTTCTTCATTCCATGTTTACACCATGAACTCTATTGTTAAAGTTACTAAAGCTTCTACTATATTATTTTCTATGAATATTTCAAGTAAATTTTCTGTTGATAAGAAAAATGATTAAAAGCCCTTTTAAATATTCAGAGCAGCACTTTAACAGAAGATTTTAAGTTTCATACGCCTTCTTTCTCTCTTTTCTGACTACAATAGAAAATTTAAACAAATCAGATTTTTAGTTGCTTGCATAGAAGGCATTTCTGAAGTGTCTATGTAATGAAGGCTCTGGAAAAAGAAATACTTTAGCTCTTTAATATTTCAATAGCCTTTTAAGTTCTTAATTGATTTCACCAGAAAATGCTAGTTTGGCTTACTTTGTAATAATGGTTATGAAGTTAGCTAAAATATGAATTTGCTGAAAATCTATCAGAAAAGGTATAGTAAGTCATAAGAGTTATTTCAATTATGAAGTAACCATAGTAACTTCTTAAAAATCTCGTTTGATGCTTAATTTTAGAGCAGGAAAATTCAGGTATACAAGTGACTTCTTGATTAGTAAATTAATAGTTAGTTCAAATACCGTTTTTCCTCTTGTTGAGCTCAGTCTTCAATTATGGAATTATGAATGATAAACAGTTCTAGAGAAAGTAATTTTAGGAGAATAAATTAGTTAATTGCTAGCATCTAAAATTTCAAATGCTTTTTTTTTAAATATTATGGAAAGACGCTTACAAGTAAATTAAAATTGCTGCTTATATTTCTCTCAAGTTTATTGATGGAAAACAATTCAAATTTACTAAAGTTATTTTGGGATAATCATAGTTACTTTCATTCGATCATTAGAACCAAATACTCAAATTATACCTACAATATTACTCCTCGATTCACCAAAGCTTTTGCTAAACAACAATTACAAAATACCATATTTCCCACTAAAGCAATGGAATAATGATAAAAAACTCCCTCAATCTTATTTTCTCAAGGACAATACTCAGTTCCAACAACCCCAGGCAAATATGAAGAGCTTTAAGTCATCGTTCCATCCATATTTGATCCTCACCTAGGAAATAATATATTGGGGTTTTGGGGTTTTGGGGTTTTGGGGTTTTGGGG